TATAGTGAACTGTCTAGAATTATGTTGGCCATCTTGACAGTTCCCCATAGTAATGCGGAGTGTGAGAGGATTTTCAGTGTTGTTGCAAAAACGAGAACTAAATTTAGATCTAATATTAGTGATGACACATTAGAAAAACTTTTATTAGTGAAAGCAGGCCTACGTGGCAATTGCTATGAACAAAATTATGAAGTTTCTTTCATAACGAAAGCAAAATCTGCCACTGTTCATAACATTTGTATGAAAACTGATTAAAATGTCCCTTTTTTTTTTTTTTTTTTTTTTTTTTTTTTTTTTCACTATGCAAGTAATAAAAATGTTTTTTATGCCTAAGGTATTTTTGTGTTGCTTGCATTTAAGACTTAGTAACTATTTAAAGTTAATTCATTATTAAAAACTATATTTTTATCATTTAAAAAGTCTTTTTAACATTGTGAAAAATCTCCTGATTTTTGAGTGTCATAGGTTGGCAAGTATGCATTGATTTGGCAAGTATGCAACGTTTGATCCAAATTGTGCTGTTTTTATTGCTACTAAATCTTTAATTTTGTAACATTTTGAAGAACGTCTTCGATAGTTGTATGTTTTCTTGTTTTCTTTCTGTACCTTAAATAGTTGTTTCTTGACATCTTTCTGAAGTTGTAAGTTTCAAAATTATTCTGAATTTCTGCGTCAATTATTTCTTTAGTGATTTCTTTTCCAGAAGTATAATCAGTATCTGCTTGAAAATTAGAAGCATTCTGTTTGCTTACTCCAGATATAAAATTAACAGCTGATATTGCTTTAGGAAATCTTGTTTTAGGGACAGAAGATTCTTCAAGGAAAGATTTACACCTCTTATATGACGTTGTCTTATATTTAGTTGATTTGTAAGTTGAAGTCGCGCTAGATGGTGTTGGAACAGCATCAACACCACATAAGTCTCCATAATGTTCCCAATCATCAGCATTAAGAATTTCTCACAACTGACAAAATTCTTCATGAGTGATACACATTTTTCTTTCCAATTCTGCTTGTTTAGCAAATAATCTCTTCTCCATAATTTCCCTCATGCAATCTTTTTCTAAAGCTAGCATTTCTTGCATGTTCAATTTAACATTTTAAACTTCATTTTTCTTTCTCAGACAGGATTTTATCTTTGGTTCTCCTTCGAAATTCTGTAGCTTCTATTTCATTCTTTGCTTCTGTAACATTTCTACACTCTGTTCTAATACAGAAAGTTTTCTTTCCAAAGATCTAACTTGTTGTTCAGAAGCATCCAAACCCATTTGTAAAATAGATTTTTCTTGTTTTAATTGTTCTTTAGCTATAATTGTTAAACGTCTGGGTCTTAAAGAAATAGGTTGATCATCTTTTAAAATAACACACGTTTCAATATAAGTAGTTTTTCCTTTGGCTTGTGTTCCATTAAGTTTTTCAGACATACCAGGATCCAGTTCTTTAGCTGGAAGTTTCTCTTGCTGTTTACTCTTTCTTACTGTTGATATTTCTGTTTCACCAGCATTATATTCGACTAGTTTCTCAGATTCTGAATTCTTTCTTTTTTTAGAACTCTTTGGCCCTGAAGTGGGTTTTTTGGATTTATTAATTCTTTCATTACTGTTTTTGACTTGCTGAACATTCTTAGGTGGGTTTTTTCTTCTTCTTTTAGGAATGGAATTCTTCCCTTCCTCTACGTTTTGTAGTTTTCTTTTTCTAAGTTCATTAAAGCGGTGTTTTCAAAATTGCCTTTAGAACACATACTTTTAATTACTAAAAAATATTCATATAGGGATTTTTTTTCCTGCATTTTACGTTTTGATAATAATTCATGTAACTGAGCAGAGTTATACTGAACACCACATTCATTTACTAATAAAGCCTTAACTGCATTCCACAAATTAATTTTCGTTTCACTTTCAATAAATAATTTTGCTTTGCCAGTTAAAGATCTTTTGACGAATATTAGTTTCTGTAATTCATTTAGTTTTAACAAATTAGATAAATCCTCAAAGTTTTCAATAAATTTGTCAACCAAATTATATGGATTACCATCAAATTTAGAAATCAAGCTTTCAATATCATTAGAATTTATATACACATTTGAAAACTGTGAAAATGGAAATTGAACTGATGACTTACTAATATTTTGTTTCAGCTCATGATCTTCGTCAACAGCAGCAAGAAAAAAAAAAGTCGTTGAAAATTCGAGCAGTTGATGCATCGATTTCACTATTAACCGAAGTATTTCTTCTTTCATCCAATATTGCTTCATATTCCTCTATTTGTTGTTTGTAATTTGATCCCAATTCTGACACCAATTTTGTAGGTTCTTTAGTTTCGAAATCGCAATTCATGTTTAAACAAAACACATTTAACAAAACATTAATACATCTATAATATAGATCATCTATTAATACAACATCTATAACATCGTTTATCTATTACCACGATATCTATAACATCTTATATTCTATTAACATGCCAACTATAACGTCTTACATCTCTTAATTCCACATCTATATCTATAAAACAATATCATACATCTCTAAAACAACATCTTGCATCTCCTCTCATAAAACAAAGTGGCAAGAGTTCTATCAATTTCACTCATGGAGTCAACAGCTAAAAATTAGACAGCGCTTGAGGAAAAATATTAAGCTATGGATTTAAAATCCCACATATGTAACTGTTGCTACAGCTTTCAATTATCTTCACTTTTAGTTCAATAAACAGTACTTTATATAACACCAGAAAAAGTAGTCATGTGAGAATATAGATACAAAATAGCATATAGTTAAAGGAGGAATATAAAAAATAACTATTTTGTCTCAGTCTCACTCGATCCTGATTAAAAATTTTTAGAGAAAAAGCTTTTTTTTTATGCTACTTTTGCAGCCAGCATTTCTAATTTCCGTTTGCGACCTAGTCTCATTTTCTTTTCAGCAGCTTTTATACAATCCATTGATTTACTTTTTTTTCTTTCTTGCAATGTTTGGAATTGTTTAATTGCTTTTTTTTTTAGATTGTCGCTCCTCCTTTTTAATCTCTAGCTCTTCTTTGTACAGTTTATGAACATTCCTAATTTTTACATAGAGTTTTGTGTATTGGAGAATGCAAGTGGTTATCCGTATGTAGGAGCGATGGCGCCAGCACCGATTGCTGAAATTATTGAAGTCAGCTCTCATTTGATGGTTGCTTGCTCTTCTTTGATTCGATATTCGTACACATCTAGTTCCGCCTTTCCACATAAGCCCCACTTACTTTGCCTTGATGTGAAACAACGTATTTCGCGATCTTGGCTCAGGCAAACTCGAAAAGTTCGCAGCAAGAGGTGCCTGCGGTTTGATCGCTAACCCGGCATAATATTATATGATGGCATGATTTAAAGTTTTTTTACAAAGAAAAGAGGAAGAGAGAGAGCATGTCCTCCATTTACCCCCTCCCCCCCACACACACACACACACTTGCCGGTCGCGATTTCTCAACGGTTCTGCATCGATCTCAGAAGCAGCCCGGGTGACGTTCAAAAAAGCGGAATTCTGCGAAAACGCAGAAAACTTTCATGCCTGGAATGGAGAAAACATCTGCTCTCTGCTGTTAGTTCAGAGCAGAATTCGGAGTATTGAGATATTTGAGAAAGCTTCACCTTTTAGATGCACTGTGCATCGTATTGTGTGTAACGTTCATATTAGTTTGAAGTGTAGTTACTGATTGTACTCTGTGGTACTGAGAAGAGCTGTACAAGTATTTTTGCAAAAATTTACAGAACTCAAGTTTTTTTTTGTGTGTGTGTGTGTGTGTGTGAGAAATAAATTTTATAAAGGTACCATTGGTCCTTTGTGCATTGACTCCATTATGAACCCATATGTACACAACAACAATTGCAGTATAATTATTATTTGCATACTGTACATAATGTTGCAATAATACTACTGATCTTGCAATCAATATGTGGCATAAACATCTTGCACATCTTAATCATCATGGATTACTGAGATCCATGATCACTGGTATAAATTTTAATAATGATTCGAAAAATTATTTATTTCATGCATAAAAGGTGAAATTGCAGGTGAAGCAAACGGCTGCAAGAGCCAAAAATGTGCTTGAATTAATTCATTTAGACTTGTGTGGATCCATGGCAGTAGAATCTCATAGAGGTGCAAAGCATTTTTTAACACGGATTGCTGACAAAACTAGAATAACTTTTATTACTTTTCTCAAATCAGCGGAGGAATTCTACCAGTAGTTTGTAGGTTTCAAAGCCTACATTAAAAAAATGCCAAGGAAATAAAGACAATTTGAAAAGACAGAGGTGCTGAATATTCAAGGCAATCTTGGCTCTCATTTTCAGGCAGAAGCCATAAGCACAACTAATTATTTAAGAATAGGAGCCCAATTATACCAGTTAATGGTAAAACATCATTGAAGCTTGGACTTGCATTAAACTAAATTTAAGCCATATTTTAAAGTATTCCATTTTTGGACATACACCAATATTCTCAAATGCCAATGCAAGAAGTTGGATAATAGAGGGGCGGAAATATCTTTGTTGTGTATAGACAAGAAAGTAGGGTACACTGTGCCAAAAAAAAAAGGGGGGAGGAACAGTTTTATATCTCCTGTTCTACTGGGCCGATTGACAAAATTCAAATTGTGTTTTTCGTTTCTCAAAACGCTACTTAGACTATAAGATTACATTATTCAAAATTTGATGGCTCTATGTGCCATTATTTTATCACAGTATGAAAAACGTACATATGTTTATGCAGATTCTTCATTATTTAATTTCTTTAAATATAATTTTGGGCTCTAATATTTGATCGCAACAATTTAAAAAGTGAACCAATGCAAATTGCCAAAACGAAATTAATAGCCTATTGGGCTAAAAGAGTTGCTTGTTAAAAAGTCCCCCCTTAATTATTTTAAAGCTATTAAAAGAATTAAAGAATAGAACTTTAGACTTTTTTACTAATGTAAATTTTTTGCTTCTTATTCTGTTTGATTTTCTTTTTTAGCCAGAAGAAGAGGAAGATTTACGAGAAGTAATGGATGATCCAGAGTTTTTACAAAGTGTTCTACGAAACTTGCCTGGTGTTGATCCTCAGAGTGAAGTAGTACGTAATGCTGTAGGAAATTTGGACAGTAGTAATAAAGATAAGAAAACAACTTCCAAGAAAGACGATAAAACAAAAAAATAAGTTTTATGAGCATAGTTCATGTGAATTATTTAATACCAGAAAAACAGTTAAAAAGTTAAAAACTTCATAACAAGTTTTTCTCTCATATATATCTTTTTAGTTAAAAAAAAAAAAAAAAAAAAAAGAGATGAGGGTCAAAATAGCATTTTGCTTTAAATATGTTGCTTTTCATTTCTAAAGTTATTTTTTTCTGTTATTCATATTTTTGAAAATGATAATAGTTAAAATTGTAGCTATTTTAAGTTAACACTTTTACCTGTTACTTAACAAATATCCATATGTGTACAACTGTCGATGAAGAGTGATATTTTTTAAAATAAAATCCTATCATTTATCTATTTATCTGGTTATGTAATTATATGCTATGTGGGATGTTAACATGGAAAGAAATTCATCAAAAGTATTAATAAGATAGCTGGGCTAAATGCTAGTAATATTATGAAATCCATATTACAGTAAGAAATGGCATTTTGTTTACATTTTCACAAAATTGAAAATACCGGGAGAAATAAAACAATTTTATATGATTTTTCTTTAAATAAATTATTTTAAATATAGTTTGGAAAATATGTATGAAAATAAATTTCTCATTTCTGAATTTAATTTTATTAGCTTTCACATATTATCCATGTGCAGTTGTTTAAAGTTGTAAAGCTATAAAATAAATTATAATTTACATATACACTGACTACCAATAAGTATTTGGACACCTGTGATAAAAAAGAAAAACTAACTTTATTCAAAATCAATAGTTGGTAGAGCCTCCACGAGAGGTAATTACAGCGTGGACCCTCCGGGGCATACTTTCCACAAGTCTTTGTATGTCAGCTGGTGGTATATACTTCCACTCGGCTTGGAGAAGACATAGAAGTTCCTTCACTGATTTTGCACGGGTAGTGCACCCCTGAATTCGGCGATGCAACTCGTCCCAGAGGTTCTCGATAGGGTTCAGGTCTGGACTCTGGGCAGGCCAGTCCATTCAATGAACTCCATTGGCACCATACCAAACCTTGGTTAACGTCGAAACATGACAACTGGCATTGTCGTCCTGAAAGTAACGGGTCCAACCCGTAAAACTGCCACAACGTAGGAAGCACATTATCCAAAATAGTGCAGTAGGCATCGGAGTTAAGCTTACCATGAATGGGGTGCAAGGGTCCCAGCCCATACCAGAAACACCCCCAGACCATAATTCCACCTCCGCCGAACTTGACTGTAGGCACAATGCATTCTGGCAGGAGACGTTCTCCAGGTAGACGCCAGACCCAGACCCTGCCATCCGAAGGGTAAAGTTTGAAGCTTGATTCGTCACTCCATAGAACCCGTTTCCACTGATCTACGGTCCAATTTCGATGTGCTTTGCACCACATTAACCGAGCAGTGCAGTTGGACTTTGTGATCAAAGGCTTATGGGCAACAGCACAACCATGAAAACCAAGCAGATGTGCTTCCTTACGGATGGTATTCATTGAAACAATACTCCCGGATGCCTGTTGAAACTCCTCGCAGATGAGGGCCATCGGTTGGGTGCGGTTCTTCCGAATTTCTCTGAACAGCACTCGTCGGTCTCTATCCCCTAGTTTCGTTGGTCTGCCGACTCGGGGCACATTCCGACAATCACCCCTCACCTTCCACTTCTTAATCACATAGGCCACTGTCGATATTGGGTACTTCAGATTGCTAGATATGCCCCTTAAGAATCGGCCACATTTGTGATACCCGATAATTATACCTTTCTCGAAATCAGAGAGCTCCGAACTGCGAGGCATCTTGCATGCGACTAAAGCCGATGCTGTTTCCTACACGATATATACCGGCGGAGTCCATGGCATGCCTTAGGACCGCAGATATTGTCATTTGCATAGGTGTCCAAATACTTATTGGTATGGTAGTCAGTGTATTTTAGCTAGAACATCTTTATGTGAAGTAATACACTCATGTCCAAAATTATCTTTACATACCCAAAAATGATGATATTCAATGAAATATCGAATCAATGTGATCCGTATTTGCAGGGAATGTGTGAAAACCAAGCCTAATTAGCATTATCCAATCAAAAGTAATCAAACGGTTTGTGATATGTAAATCTTGGCGTTACGTCATCCAAGGGTGAATCAAGCGCTTTGCGCAAACTGAATATTTGAGTGAATTTCTGCAACATAGCGTTTGATTTCAGTGTGTAGGGACTCAAAGCGGTTTGTTATGGCTTCGAAGTATCATTTGGAAGAATCTGTAAAGTGGCGAATTATCGGCCGTTTAGAAGCAGGGCAGTCAATCATGGAAACAGCCACATGTCTGAATATTTCAAGACAGACAGTCTCTAAGCTATGGAAACAGTTTCAAAATGATGGAAGTGTTGTAAGGAGGCCTGGACAAGGTCGGAAACGAATGACAACTGCTTCTGAAGATCGGTATCTGGCATTAACTGCCCGTCGTAACAGAAAGGCTACTGCTCGCCAGTTAAGTTCAGAGCTTGCAGCCGCCACTGGAACTGTTGCATCACGGCAAACAATATACAGAAGGCTTAATGAAAAAGGCCTTTATGCCAGAAAGCCAAGGGTATGTGTTTTACTGTCTTCACAGAAAAAGAGGGATCGCTTTAATTGGTGTAAAGAACATCAAAAACTGGACTGAACATCAATGGTCCCATGTTCTCTTTATCGCGGTTTAGTTTAACTGGTGATTCTAAACGTGTTTACATCTGGAGGGAGTCAGGAACACGAAATGATCCCTCGAACATTGTGGAACGTGACCGTTTCGGTAGTGGAGGTGTGATGGTATGGGGTGGAATAATGATCGATGGACGTACGCCCCTACACGTGTTCAGCAGCGGATCTGTGACAGGCCAGATATATCGAGATGAGGTCTTAGATCCTTATGTAAGACTTTTCAGGGGTGCATATGGACCTGACTTTTTATTTATGGATGATAATGCCCGTCCACATCGAGCAAACCTCGTTGATGAATTCCTTGAAAGTGAAGACATTAAGCGAATACCTTGGCCACCAAACTCTCCTGACCTTAACCCGATAGAGAACTTATGGGACTACCTTGGAAGAGCAATTGCACGTATACATCCTTTCCTCCTCCTAGAGATGTAAATGCTCTGAAGACGGCATTGCTGGAAGAGTGGAGATTAATTCCCCAAAATGTGGTTAACAACGTTATTTCCAGCCTTAAAACACGTTGTGATATGTGTGTACAAGTCAGGGGAGATCATATTCCATATTAAATTCGTAAGACTTAATTCTTTTTCTGAATCATTCCTTTTTTTCTTAACTCTCTTTGTCACACTTTATTACCATTTTTATTGTTTCATGCTACAATTTTATATCATATGAGGTGATCTTCAATTTTTTCTTTTGCATTTATGTGTCATCATGTTATGTATGATTCCACGAAAATTCATTAAATTATAAGTCATAGTCTCTGAGAAATCCGTTAATTTATGCATGTAAACATAATTTTGGACATGAGTGTAATTTTAAGCACCTTTCATAAGATGGATTAAGTACTATTTCTTTTAGTTTGATGTAAGTAAATCAGGAGTTGCAAGAAGAAATGAATGCTAATACAATAAATCCAGGGGGAAAAAAAAAAAAACTGAATAAGATACAGAGTTGACTGGAGTGACTTGTACAGTATTATAACTTGCATGGTTTGTTTTATTCTTGAAAATGATTTCCTGTATAAAAAAAAAGTTTGTTTTTCAGTATTTAAAATTAGGCGAATTCAACCTTAGACTGAAATAAATAAAAAAGTTTGTTTCAAAGGAGACTGACACAAATCTCTTTTAAGAGCAAATATGTTTTAAGCTTTTTTTTTTTTTTTTTTTTTTTTGAAACATATCACTTAAATAAAAACAGAAGTAGAAACAGTAATGCTATATTTTAGACAAAACAGCAATGAAAAGATGAAAAAATTTGTGTGATGTTAAAAGGAATTTTATAGAAGGTATGCTATTAGGCCGTACACAGAAAATTGTGTTTTGTTCTGAAAATATATCTAACAAGTAGCTAAATAATTTTTAAAATCTGTATTACTATTCCATAGTGCAACTTTTCAGATTTTGTTATTCAAAAAATCACAAATCAGTTCAAGCTCAGTTAATTTGCCTCTTACTCCCTTATCAAAAAAATTAAGAAACAAATAAATTTCTGGATGTAAATGTTTAAAATAAATTAAATGTAACCATAAATTTAGTGAGTATGCATAAAATATGGTTATATTTTTCAGCTCTTGCATTTTTGCAGATTTAAAAAAGTTTTAGAAAGATTGTGAATGATGAAAAGGTAGCAAAACTTTTCGTAAATATTAAGGTACTTTAATAAAATATTTCCAGCTCTGACATAAAAGCAAGCTCTGCTCATTATCTCCATGTCATCAATCATGTATAAGTCTTTGAAGTTGAGAGAAATACATTGACTTACTCTTGTACACTATAACTACCATTTAAATTTATTCAATGATCTTAGATGGGAAATGAGATGACCATCTGTCTGCTTTGGTGATCCTATAAATTTTCAATTGATTGAGGTCCAGTAATCAAATTTGTTACTCCATTCATTAAATTCCATGACCTCCAACATACTGATTAACTACAGCTGCTGTAATAGCTTCACATTATAATTTTTAATGCAGATGGATTACCTATGGCAGCATCAGTTGATCTTCATATAGTGATGAAGAATTTCATGCAGATATGTCAAAACATATACAAGCACACATATACAAGTCAATCTAAGCACTGAAACTAGGATTCAACCCTTTTCAAGAATGTTTTCTTTGTTGTATAATATTCCTTTCTGCTATCGAGCTTTTGATATAACTGAATTGCAGTGTGGAGTATATGATTCATCTGTGTGCATTACAAGGGGTGGTTATGATCTGAATATAGCCTCTTTTTTTTTTTTTTTTTTTTTTTTTTTTTTTTTTTTAATACTTTGTCAAACCCAAAATTTCCAGATTTGGAAAATCATATGGAGATGCAATTTTGAAAATTAATACCCAGGATTAATTTTTAATGAGAGCAGAGGTGCAAAAATTATTAGGAATTCTGAAATTCTGAATCTGTTGAGAAAGAAGTTTAAATTATTCAGAAAGAGACATGTAGAAAGTGTTAATTATGTGTTAAAAAAAGTTACCCCTAAAAAACTTCTTTCCATCAAAGTTAATGGTATGAATTCTGCCACATGTGCTGAAATGACTACTTTCATTGTTTTGAGGAATTTAGCAGATAATTTGCCAAGTGTCATTTTAGAAGGTGAAAAAAAATTTCTATTAGATCAAGGAGTCATGAACTATCACTTGTATTATACCGAAACTGATATTGTAAGTG